GCATTACAAATCTGAATGAGAATCGTGTTGTTGAAAGACATAAGTGAAATTTTATAGATATTAATTCCATTACTTTTACTGTCATCACAAACTAACAATATCGACTTTACTTCTTTCCTCTTTGTGCTTCCCCCTCACAGGCTTCTGGGGATGATGCTTCTATGTGATGGCGGTTCTATGTGATGATGGTTCTATGTGGATGCGGTTCTATGTGATGATGGTTCTATGTGATGGCGGCTCTATGTGATGGCGGGTATATGTGATGGCCGGTTCTATGTGATGGCGGCTCTATGTGATGGCGGTTATATGTGATGGCGGTTCTATGTGATGGTGGTTCTATGTGATGATGGTTCTATGTGGCGGTGATTCTATGTGCTGGCGGTTCTATGTGATGGTGGTTCTATGTGATGGTGGTTCTGTGATGGTGGTTCTATGTGATGGTGGTCATGGCGGTTCTATGTGATGGTGGTTCTATGTGATGGCGGTTCTATGTGATGGTGGTTCTATGTGATGGCGGTTCTATGTGATGGTTGTGCTATGTGATGGTTGTTCTATGTGCTGGCGGTTCTATGTGATGGTGGTTCTATGTGATGGTGGTTCTATGTGATGGTTGTTCTGTGATGGTGGTTCTATGTGATGGCGGTTCTATGTGATGGTTGTTCTATGTGATGGTGTTTCTATGTGATGGTGGTTATTTGTGATGGTGGTTCTATGTGATGGTGGTGATGGCGGTTCTATGTGATGGTGGTTCTATGTGATGGTGGTGATGGCGGTTCTATGTGATGGTGGTTCTATGTGATGGTGGTTCTATGTGATGGTGGTGATGGCGGTTCTATGTGATGGTGGTTCTATGTGATGGTGGTGATGGCGGTTCTATGTGATGGTGGTTCTATGTGATGGTGGTTCTATGTGATGGTGGTGATGGCGGTTCTATGTGATGGTGGTTCTATGTGATGGCGGTTCTATGTGATGGTGGTGATGGCGGTTCTATGTGATGGCGGTTCTATGTGATGGTGGTGATGGCGGTTCTATGTGATGTGGTTCTATGTGATGTGAAGTGGTCCTGTCTACATCTGGTTTACTTGTTTGAATCATTTCTGTCGTACAAATTGTTCATCTTTTTCTTTTATTCATTTTTCATGTTCTCACACACGAGGCGGACTTCCTGTCCCAGTGCGTGTTTGATGAGTAACCGCGGCGATCACACACCTGGACTTACATCTGCCGGCACCAGCGAGGTGGAGGCACGTTGATGAGATCTCACTCATCTGATGACACACAGAAGTCACGACATCACTTCCTGTCTGCGCCGCTCTCCTCGACCAGTCGGCAGGTGAAGGTCCTGTTTTATTCATTTAAAGAGTAAAAAACAAAATAATTCAGTTATTTATCAACATCTGGCGCAATAATAAGACTTTCATAAAAGCACCAAGCCGGAGACGCTTTATCACCACTAACATCCTTCATAGAGGATTAATGTCCAGACTGAACGACACGTCGTATCAGTGGTTGAGTCGTGTGTCTCCCTTGTGCTTTTTGTCTTGTCATCCAGTCCAATGAGACAATGAGAGACACTGAAACACTCTGCTGAGCTAACGTTAGCATCAGACATCGCTCACCAGCCTGACAGAGGATGACGTCGTCGCTTACAGGGACTTTTCCACGTTAACGATGACCATGAAAGGAAGCGTGTGTGTTTGTGTGTGAGGCCACAGTGTGCGGGTGTGTGTCAACACCTGTAAATCCTCCAGACATGATTAATCAGCACCGAACGTCTGTGTGTGTGTGTGTGTGTGTGTGTGTGTGTGTGTGTGTGTGTGTAGCAGACCTACAGGAGATGACACTTGTTTTTAGGTGGGCTGCTTTACCATAACACACACATGAACACACACACTCATTGCTAATGGAGGAATGTACTCAGACAAACACACACACACACAGACACACACACAGCTGGTGGCCCTCAGACCAGCAGGGTGCCAGTTTGATACTGATACTGATTGTTACTGTCAATCAATATCAATCAATTAACGATAGCACATGACTGTGAACATACAGAGCCAGATGTTCTGCTCTAATGTCAGATGTTCTGCTCTAGGTCAGATGTTCTGCTCTAATGTCAGATGTTCTGTCCTATGTCAGATGTTCTGTCCTAGGTCAGATGTTGTGCTCTAGGTCAGATGTTCTGTCCTAGGTCAGATGTTCTGCTCTAATGTCAGATGTTCTGTCCTATGTCAGATGTTCTGCTCTAATGTCAGATGTTCTGTCCTATGTCAGATGTTCTGTCCTAGGTCAGATGTTGTGCTCTAGGTCAGATGTTCTGTCCTAGGTCAGATGTTCTGCTCTAATGTCAGATGTTCTGTCCTATGTCAGATCTTCTGCTCTAATGGCAGATGTTCTGCTCTAATGTCAGATGTTCTGTCCTATGTCAGATCTTCTGCTCTAATGGCAGATGTTCTGCTCTAATGTCAGATGTTCTGTCCTAGGTCAGATGTTCTGCTCTAATGTCAGATGTTCTTTGGTGACTCCCAATGAACGGACCCATTGATCGGTCAGGTCCACTGAGTGCTGAGTTTCTGGCTTCATGCCGGTTGCCATTGTTGGATTTCTTTGGTTGGAATCAGGTCACATGGCGTCCAAATAATAAAAAAATGGGATCCCAGAAAATCTGGAGAAATAAATTATTTTGGTGTGACGTATCACACGGGGGGAGGGAGGAGGTCTGAGTCTCCTCCAGGTTCCCTCACTGATGTGAGTCACTATTGAAGGCCTCCAGGGTGCAGAAGAAAAGAAATGATGCTTTCATATTGAGCCTGAAGCGAGTCCCTCACAGCTTCCACGTGATCTCCTCTCAGTCAGGAAGCCTGTTAGATGTTAGATGTCCCTCATGCACAGCAAGTCTCCTCACAACCTGAGACATGAAATGAAACACCTCCAGCCACTTGGAACGTGCGCCCAGAGAGAGGGTGTGTGTGTGTATGTGTGTGTGTGTGTGTGTGTGTGTGTGTCGTGTGTGTGTGCGCATGTGTGTGTGCGTGCGTGTGTGTGTGTGTGTGCTGGAGTTCTTGTGAACTTGTTAAAGTGGTTCTCTGGCTTTAATGGAGGCCTGAGGTCACACCTAAGAAGTCTTATTGAGAACGATTTATTTAAGTACTTCAATTAAAGTAGAACTTTGTTAACGGGGTTCAAATCCATCATAAATGCACGTTTGATTTAAGAACGTTATTAGTTGACTCCAGGATTTCATCGTCACTCAGTGTCTTATTGATCATATTTCTACTCATAAAGGCTCCTTCGTGTAACATGAAGGTCTCCACAAATTGAACCGTATTACAAGTAAGATTTAATTGTTTAACACAAGATGGGAAATGATCGTTGGGGGAGTCAAACACACACAAGCGTCGGGCAGGTTTCATCAACCAGACTCTACTAGAGGTTTCACGTCTTCTTCAACACAGCGTGATGTTCATTGAGTAAATGATGGTCCATTCAGAGTCAAACAGACTTTAGGCCGGGGCTACACGCTGATTGACAGGTCTCTACCTAACTACGGTCATTTCCTGTTCAGTGGATGGTCAGTAAACAGTGGAGATACAGAGAGTATATTAATATGTAACATTAGAATCCACCCAATGAACAGCAAGGCCAACCACAGACCAGAATGCACTGCAGCGACCCCCCAGGTGCAGAGGGGGGGATGCGGGTTCACCAGAGTGCGTCGGGGCTGAGAAGAACCTCCAGTCTGCCTCTTCAAACGAGTTGAATCGAGTTGAAACGAGTTGAAACGCTCCTCCAAGTCGAGGCTCTTAAACTGACGGGAATTCCCCGGCGGACTCGAATGCGGCATCATCATTATTCCGTCTGCTTTGAACCCCCTCTCCCCTTCTCCCGCTGGGGCTCTACGGGATGACAGGAGGCTCTGCTGCATGAACTTCACCTGAACTCACCTGGTGGGTTCATGTTCTAGATCAGAGGTCTTCAACATATATATATACATATATATATATATATATATATATATATATATATATATATGCATATATATACATATATTACATATATATATATATATATATATATGTATATGTGTTTAGGATGAATTACCATTACATTCTCCCACTGGTGCACCACACATTGGGGATCCCCGCTGTGGAGCAGTGGTTCTCAAACTGAGGGGTGTGACCCTTCTTGTGGGGCGCGAGGGGCCGGGGGAATTTTTTTAAATAAACTGTATATTCACTCATACTCAAATTTGATTAAACTTATTTATTATTTGATTTATACTCCTTTATTAATCCCACATGGGTACATTATTTTACCCACCTTAGTAGTTAAGGAGCAGTGTTGCTCAAGGACACTGAGACACGCAAACTATGGACAGAACAGTTACGTCCACTTCTTCTCTTTAACTTAAAGAACTCTGACAAGTTTTAGATTTGAACTTAACTGTTCAAGTTAAAACGTAAACTTAGTGGTGCTTTGTGTTGACGTCTTTGAGATCAGTTTGTGTCAGTTAAAAGAAAAACCCTAACGTTTGTGTTTTAGGTAAAGTGTCTTTTTTAAACCACGGTCACGTTAAACATTCTGCTGCATGTTGTGGGCCGGTGGGCCGACGGGGAACCGGAGGGTCTACAGGGGGGTTCTGCCACCTGGTGGCTCGGTTGTGAATCTACACAGGCAGTATTTGGCTTTTCCTCCTATGTGAATAGTTCTATCATGACTTCATCTTGTTCCACGTTTACTAGTCATGTGGCGTTCGTGAACCAACGAATCCTTACAAGGACTCCAGAGTAACGAGTCCTCTCAAAAAAAGATTGGTTCATTTTACTGAACGAGATTCAAAGAACCGAGTCGGTAAAATGATCCGAACGTCCCATCACTGACGTTTACATCACGGGAATCACTTCTGTGGATGATTAAAGTTACTTTAACTTATTGAATCATTTTCATAATGTCACGAATCTGATTCATTTTCCGCCGTTAAACGAATTGAAACATTACCAAGTTGTTATGTTTTTATTTTTCAGATTCACATTTTCATTTATTTCATCAAAAAACGATAGTGGATCAATATTCAGAGTTTGGACAATAATCAGCATTTTCCTCATTGAATAAATCAACATTATTGCACAATCTGAAGACGTTGCCGCGGCTGAAGAAGCTTTAGCTTCATGTGTTCGTACGACACGGACATTTGTTAGTAGCTCAACATGTAAGAAACAAAGCGAGATCCTCAGGGAACTAAAATCCTCCGTCCTCACGACGAGTCAAACTACCCCAACGTCCCGGTGGACGGACACATCCTGTCTCACAGTCGGGCCTTGGCCTGGAAGAAGCTCATGACGGCGTTGAAGCACTCGTCTGAGGTCCATCGCTCCATCAGGCGCTCCACCTCAGCATCATTCACCTGGTGGAGACGAGCCTTCTCTGTGGCCCGGATCAGCTGCTTGGACAAGGACAGGGACTGAGGGACAGACGGGGGGGACATTGAGTATCCGAACAGCAAACATTTTCAGTACTTGTCATTTTACTCCATGTCAGGATTTGCTCCTCTTCACAAACCGGTTAAGAGTGAAGAATAAAACGTTTTGCTCAAATATTTAAGCTTTTTTTTTCTGATGGAAGCGTTGGTCACACATGATGAGTTCAAAGACCGTTGGAGAGCTGACAACGTGTGTGTGTGTGTGTGTGTGTGCGCGCTGACGTTGGGGGGCAGCTTGGCGTAGGCCTTCAGTCGGGTCCAGACCTCCGTCTGGAAGCTGCTGTCGGGGAAAACCTCGGTGACCAGACCCAGTTCACAGGCCTGAACCGCCGACAGCTTCTTGTTGAACAGCAGCATCTCGCTGGCCTGGGGGGCGGGGGCATGTGGGCACCAGTAAGACACACGTCTCCAAATCGACCAGGCGGGAGCTTCACAAAGTCACTTTTGGAACAGGTGAGGTGTGTGGATGTAGGCGTGTACCTTGGCGGGGCCCATTATCTTGGGGAAGGTGTAGGAGGAGCAGCCCTCGGCGCTCTGACCCAGCTGACTGAAGGGGGTGTGGAAGGAGGCCTGAGGGACAGTCGCTGATTAACGTCCTCCAGTTAGAACAATAACGTAATAACCAGACCTGTCAATCATTGTGTAGCGCCGCCCTAAAGCATCTCCTGCTTCATGGTCTGTTCGACTCTAAATGGACCATAATTCACTAAATGAACATTGAAGTTAGAGACTGAGACCATAAACTCATGTTTACAGAATGAATCAAGAGAAGTAGAGTCATTTCCTCATAGACGTCTATGGGAGCAGAGGAGTCGCCCCCTGCTGGTCACTACAGAGAAGTAGAGTCATTTCCTCATAGACGTCTATGGGAGCAGAGGAGTCGCCCCCTGCTGGTCAGGAGACAGAACGCAGCTTTAATGAAGCTTTGGCTTCCCTCAGTCACAGGAAGTTGTCTTTTGAAGCAGACACGTTGTTGTTGTTTGTTCTGCTGGTTCCGTTTAGCTGCTCTGTGTTTAGAAGCGTGAAGACAACAGCCCAGAGGGTTGATGAATAACAATGTAACTTTTGACGCATAAACACGTACTAAAGTGTGCCGCGTTCTACTAAAACACAACGATTATGATGAAAACCATCTTCAGGATGCAGAGGTGTGTGTGTGTGTGTGTGTACCCGGTCCGTAGCGTACACCAGGTCAAACAGTCCCAACAGCGTGACAGAGATCCCTACAGCCGGTCCGTTCACCACGGCAACCAGCGGCTTGGGGAAGTCGATGTAGGCCTTCACGTACTTCCTGTGGGGAAGCGTCATGGAAGATAATAACGTTACGCTCATATTAATCCTCGAGGAGACGCGGAGGAGGAGCCCCAGCACTCACCTCAGCAGCTCCCCCCCCCCGACGGGCCTGCTCCTGCACCCCCCCCTCGGGGATGTTGGTGAAGTTGGAGAGGTCGTTTCCGCTGCAGTAGAAGTCACCGGCGCCTGGAGCAGGTGAGACATTTAACCACCTTTAGAAGGACCGACCAACGAGGGCATCGCAGCTTCTAAACTTGTAAGACATCCGCATTAACTTCTCTGCACCGGCTCCCTGTTACATCAAGAATAGATTTTAAGGTACTTCTCCTCACCTACAAGGCACTTGCTGGTGAGGCACCGTCGTATCTTAAAGAGCTTGTAACACCTTATTGCCCTACAAGGCAGCTGCGCTCCATAGATGCTGGTTACTTGTTGTTCCTGTGGTTTTAAAAAGTAGGCTGGGAGCCAGAGCCTTCAGTTATCAAGCTCCTCTTTTGTGCAACCAGGTTCCACTTTCAGTCCGGGGGGCAGATTCGGTCAGCTCTTTTAAAGTAAAACTTAAAACGTTCCTCTTTGATTCTGCCTATAGTTAGGGCTGGCTCAGGTTAGTCCGGACCAGCCCTTAGTTAAGCTGCTATAGGCTTAGACTGCCGGGGGAATTCTTAGGACACACCGAGCTCCTCTCTCACGCTCTCGTTCTACCATGATTCACGTTTTATTAATGCACATGACTAATTCAGCTTCTCTACGGGAGTTTTTTTTGTGCTTTCTCCCCTATCAGGTCTCCGTAGATCGTAGTTCCTTCGGGACCCTGGTCCTGACACCTGCCGTGGCCCTGCTGACGCCTGCTGCTGCCATCATCATCATTATTATTATTATTATAATAATAGATATTAATCCTATTACTGTACTCGTAAACCAACATTACCCTCTCCTAAAGTCTCTGTGCTCCTCTCTCCCCACAGGCTTCTGTGGATGGTGGTTCTACGTGACGGCGGTTCTACGTGACGCTGGTTCTATCCGACGGTGGTTCTACGTGACGCTGGTTCTATCCGACGGTGGTTCTATGTGACGGTGGTTCTATGTGATGCTGGTGGTCCTGCCGTACACCTGCTTACTACTCTCATTATTTAAATCTGTCGTATGAATTGAATGTGTTGTTCATCTTCTACATTGTTCATTCTGTACTCATGACATCATTGTAGTCTGTCCATCAGGAGACGGATCCTCCCCCATGGAAGGGTTTTCATTTTTTGGGAGTTTTTCCTGTTCCGATGTGAGGTTTTGACAGAGGATGTTGTATGTGTACAGACATGATGTGTGTGTGTGTGTGTGTGTGTGTGTGTGTACCAGTGAAAACTGTGAGGACCGAGTCGTCTTTGGCTGCCTGATTCAGAGCCTCAATGATGTCGTTGTACATCTGGGAGAAAGAAGATTACGAACAAACAGCATCAATTGACCGGATGAGGGAGGGAGGGGGCAACGTGATGGGTAGTGAGGGGGCACCGGATGTGGGTGAGGGGGCCGCGCATGAGGGAGGAGGGGGGGCACCTGATGGGGAGGGAGGGGGCACGCGATTGAGGGAAGGAGGGGGCACCGGATGGGGGAGTGAGGGGGCACCGGATGGGGGAGGGAGGGGGCACGCGATGAGGGAAGGAGGGGGCACGCGATGAGGGAAGGAGGGGGCACCGGATGGGGGAGTGAGGGGGCACCGGATGGGGGAGTGAGGGGGCACCGGATGGGGGAGTGAGGGGGCACCGGATGGGGGAGTGAGGGGGCAACGGATGGGGGAGTGAGGGGGCACGCGATGAGGGAGGGAGGGGGCACGCGATGAGGGAGGGAGGGGGCACGCGATGAGGGAGGGAGGGGGCACCTGATGAGGGAGGGAGGGGGCACGTGATGAGGGAGGGAGGGGGCACGTGATGAGGGAAGGAGGGGGCACGCGATGAGGGAAGGAGGGGGCACGCGATGGGGGAGGGAGGGGGCACGCGATGGGGGAGGGAGGGAAGGAAAGAGGGAGAGAGACCTCAGTGGTGATGGCGTTTTTTCTTGGCCGGGCGGTTCAGCTTGATGGTGGTGATGTCATCCTCCGTCGTGACCAGCAGCGTCTTCGTACGTCGGCCCGCTCCCAGCAGGCACTGCGGCCTCCTGGGCGGCGCTCCCGCCTTCCGCCGCCACCAGGGAGCCAATCAGGTCGCAGTACTTCTGCCGGGCTTCGTCCTGAGCGACACAGAGGAAGCTTAATGTTGATTGGCTGAGCCACTTATTCAGTCGGACTACCTGTCAATCATGAGAGGCTACCTGTGGTACGGAGCCCAGAGACCTCCACGCCTCCCATTTCACCTTGTTGACGAAGTCCAGCATCCCGGGTTTGGGGGTGTTGCAGGGACCTTGAGTGGCCTGCAGGAGGAGGAAGACCAGGAGGAACCATGAGACATGCGTAGCCGGAATGTGAACTTTTATGACCGTAGCCAGCGTCGAAAGAGAAGAAATCCACCAAGTTAAACCTTATGCCTTCCTGCTGACCCCGTCACAATAAAAGACCTGACCTGTTTGAACAGAGCGTAGATCTGCAGCTTGACGTCGTTGCCCGGGTCCTTCTTCAGCGAGGACATTCTGCTCCTGGCCTGCTCAAACTGCTCCTCCGTGGCTGCTGCACACGGACACAACGGCGTCATCACTACCGCTGACCATGACGGGTCTGACCCGACAGGTCACTTCGAGGGGGCGGAGCTTTGTAAGTGCTCAGAAGACTGCAGGAGGTCGAATGGAACGACCTTACACCCAAACTCTCCTTCACTTCTTTCCTGCATAACAAATGAATCCACTTTGACCCCAAACCAAGAGGATCTGGACTCACCCATCATCGGAGAGGCGGAGGTGTGGAACGTCAGACTGGGAATACTGGAGAATCTGACCAAGAGGAAGAAGGATTCAGTGCTTCACGTACACTTAAAAGGACGCCTTCCTGCTCTTACTTCTTCTCATGGAAAGAAGAAACCAAACGCTTGTTTGTCCACAAGCCAACAAAGGAAAACACACACAGCGATCAAAGTAGTCTGTAATGTTTAATGTACGAATTCATTTCCTTATTGCGGCAGCTGCTTCATCATTTAACTAAAGAACACTTTAAATGGAACAGGTGACGTCATCTCCAGTTGACCCTTTTATCTGGAGCAAAGGTCTCAGCTAGCACAGCTAACAGCAGCTAACCTGCTCTCTAGCTAGCACGATCATAACAAGACCCCGGAAAGGACCCCGGACTACACGGTCACCTTGACCCTCCTTTAACTTTGAAGGGCCCCTCGTAGCCTCGCTGGGTCAAACGGGTTCGTTTCGCGGAGAAGAGGCTGACAAGCAAGACTCGACTAGCCGCTAAACTAGCGGAGCTAACTAGCTAACTAGTCAGCGATGTCGTAGAAGTCTCGACAGTACGTTTGACCCGGCGGTAAAGTTCATAGAGCAGGTCCAACAGCACCAACAGCTGCTGACTTGGTGGTCCTCACCTTCTTAGCTTGACAAAGCGCCAGGGAGCCGAACACCTGAGGGCGACCCCGGCCATCTGTGCGCGGAGAGGGCGGTCCAAAGTCCGGATGGACGGAGTGCGGCAGGGAAGAGCTAGCTAGCTTAGCCACTAGCGAGGTGACAAGCAGCGAGTGTTTACACCACCGGCCCCGCCCACTCTGCCCTCCTGTGCTTGCTGATTGGCTAAAGGGCGGTGCCTGGCCATTCTGATTTGTCCAGTGATCGAAGGCTTATTTAACAAGCAGCCAATTAAAACACGCGCCAATTGGCGTCGAGAGGCCGTTTCTCGACACATAAAAGTATTAAAGTACATATTCATACATACAGAAGCCGTCAGAAGGATGAACACTCCTTCTCAGTAGACGGTTGCTTCTACATCTACAAAACCATTCAATTCAATTCATTTTATTTTGTACAGCCAAAATAACAAATCACCCTCAGAGGGTTTTACAGTCTGCACACATGCGCATCAGCACAGGAAACACTCCCCCAAAACGGAAAAAGTACACATATATGTATATACACAATATATTTATAGATACCACCGTTGAACTAAACGCAGATCCAGTTTCCTGAGAACCTTCAACGTCTTCAGTGAAGCTGTGAGAGAAGAACGCTGACAGGCTTCATGATTGGACAGAAAAGCAGATAGTGATCACGGGTTTGAGTCAATGACGATCTTCTTCTTCTTCTTCTCCCCTCAGGAGGAAGTCCTCCATCAGCTCCTCCGGGTCTGATCTGACTCCTCCAGTCCTGGTGCTCCTCACTCCACCTGGACCTGGGGTTAGTTTAGTCCCTTGGTTCCGTCATGGCTGCTTGTGGAACGATGGAGCAGGTTTTTTACTCATATTTCTCAATGACGGTGGGAGTTAATATCACATGTATGAAGTAACCTTATTATGACCAATACTTTGTTCCTTAACTGAGTTATATAGTTATTGAATGATCTATAACAAATTGTAACTTTGCTTATTTGATGAGTTTGTGTCCTGATGGTTGAAATGCACTGATTGTAAGTTGCTTTGGATAAAAGCGTCAGATAAATGACATGTGATGTAATAAAATATTGCGCCCTGTTTTGTACGCAACGGGTTTTTTCCCGTATTTTCTGAGTTGTCTTCAATGCAGCATCCACTGCAAATAATCCCACCCAAAGTCTGTGAAGACTCGTCCTATTGGGCCCCTGATTGGGTAATACTTGCTACCATCGTTGGTTTGATTGGCCGTGACCCTGAAACAAACCAGTCAGCCAGCGGAGGGCTCCAGAGACTCCCGGGTCCAGGGCCGACGAGAGTGGGAGGACACTAAAGAGACCCTAATCAGGACTACATGAGACTGGTTCATTGAGGATCAGGACTACATGAGACTGGTTCATTGAGGATCAGGACTAAACTGAGACTGGTTCATTGAGGATCAGGACTACATGAGACTGGTTCATTGAGGATCAGGACTACATGAGACTGGTTCACATGGATCTGAAGTCAATTCTCAAACTGGCTTCACAACTCAATTTACAGACTTTCAACGTGAATCAGGATCCTTTTTCTCTGGAAGCCGTCGCGACCGACGCATCATTTCAAGTTTTTTCCATCAACCTGTGTTTAGGGTAATTTTTGATGAACACCAAAAACCACCCTGAGTGGAATTGAAAACAATACATTAAATCTGGTCCTGAAGGTTCTTCCTGTGTGAGGAGACGATGTGCAGCAACGCTCATCAGGACCTTTCTTCTCAATAATTAATTAAAATTGAATTCAGAGCTTCTGACTATTTAGAAGATGTAACATTTAAGATGTGCTGTACAGGGATATATTCTACAGTATGGACATGTAATAAATGCTTTATAACATGACGTTAGCTGCCGGGCTGCTGGTTCCTGAAGGATCCGAGGGTCCAGCATGAGCCCCTTGTAGCCTGAAGACCACCCCATGAAGCAAACATTCCCATGCCTTCTTCCTCGCCGGTTGAGTCTTCTTCACATTTTCAAATTTCCTTATTTCATTTCTTTTTGTTGACTAACAAACGCATGCAGATAGTGAAAAGAAAAGCAAGGCAGGGATTCATTGTTCTTCTGAAACTTTGTCCCCATTGTCCCTTACATCCTGCAGCGTCTCTCCCGAAGGACCCTTGGTTCCCGCTGCCTGGCTGCTGCCCCCTAGCGGACGGGGGCGTACAGTGCAGCCCCCAAACCCAGGTACTCCAGGTTCTCCGCCGCCGGGAGGAAAAGAGCGTTCCCGGGCGGCGTGGCCGGACTACCAGGCAGGAAATCTGCCTGGTAGTCCGGGTTGTCGAGGCTGTCGCCGGCGGCCGCAGGCAGCGAGCTCTGGGCGGTGTTCAGGTATTCGGGTCCCAAAGACTTCAGCTCCTCCAGCGGCAAGGGGGGCGAGGCGGCGCCCCAGCCCACGCTCAAGTCCTCGTAGTTGGGATTGAACACTTCGGACAGCCTGCTGGTCCCGCTGGTTTCACTCAGACTCTGGTTCCTGTAGTCTGAAAGAGAGAGAAAGAGTTGATTATGTCTTCTCATGGTGGAGCTCTGAGAAAGCAGCGTTCTCTTTCACTGGAGGAAGCAAATCAGCTGTCGAGCACCGTGGCCGCTGAAGTCTTCTTTGTCCGTGGCGTTGTGGGTCGGATCGGTGATGTAACGCAGAGCGATGCTGTTCTGTCGGACTGGATGACCGTTCTGAGAGGAAGACCAGAGAGGCGGGACAAGATGCACTTCCTGTTAGCACAACCCTTCTACTTTCTTTATTATGTCCCGCCGCAGCGTGTGTTTACCGCGGCATGGCAGGACCCGTTGTCATGGCAACCCGTTCCTTTGAAGGGTAGCAGGTACTCGTCGGCGTCTACCACGTCCTCCATGTCATCTGAGCTTAGCAGGCGGGAGTAAAACCTGCTGTCTGACGGACTGGGGAGGTCACCCTGAGAAGAGTCACAAGGTCGTCATGTTCAACACAACAGAAGGAAAACACTACTTTCGTGTACCCAGTTTTAAGAGGTGTTTCTTTATTAAGAAAGAGTCTGATCTGATCACAAGTCTCAGCTGATGTAATGAGACGAGACACACACACACACACACACACACACACACACACACACACTGTCTACCTCCACAACCAGGTATCTGGATGGATCTCTGGCCATCTTTGAGAACTCCACTATCAGCTCTCTGAACCTGGGACGACTGGACGGGTCAATCATCCAACCTGGAGACGGGGAGACGGGGAGAGTCAGAGACAGGGAGAGAGAGAGAGACAGAGGAGGAGACAGCGAGACAATGAGAGAGGACATCACGGTCAGACACTCTCCAGGTGTCTTTGAGGGGAGCTCTTACACTTCACCAGGATCATGTAGACCTCGATGGTGCAGATGGGGGGCTGAGGCAGCCGGTCTCCTCTCTCCAGAACCGACGACATCTCGCTGGCCGGGATGCCGTCGTACGGCTTGGTGCCAAACGTCATGAGCTCCCACACCGTCACGCCTGCAGGCCACAGACCCCAGATCAGAGACCATCAACACGTCTGTTATCGGAAGAACCTTGAAGGTTCCCTGTTGTCAACGTCATCTGGCTGGATAAAAGAAGACTGGGGTCTTTTTGCTTGGATTGTCGGTCTTTTCTTTTGCCAGCACACGTCGCATTATAAAACGAGTCGTGTGAACCTGGTAACACCAACGGTGGTTCTCAGAGGGAGAGAGCCTTGCTGCGTTAGTGTCAGAATGAAGGTCTGAAGCTCGTGAAGAACCAGCATTGGCAACAAACCGCTGTTCATGAAGGAGTTAATAGAGCCGCTTTTATATTAAACCAGAGATCTGATTGGTTGATCCTATAATACTTCCAGCAGGCGGTTGACTCACCGAAGCTCCAGACGTCACTCTGGTGGGTGTAGGTCCACTGGAGGATTGACTCCAGTGCCATCCACTTAATGGGAACCTGCAGACACACAGCAGCAGGAAGCCTGTTAGGCGGTCTGTCCCGGCAGGTCTCCCGGGTAACGGGATCAACAACACACACACCTTCCCTCCGTCGGCGTGGTACTCCTGCTCGTCGGACGCCAGCAGCTTGGCCAGACCGAAGTCGGTGATCTTCACATGGTTGGGGGTCTTCACCAGGACGTTCCTAGCCGCCAGGTCACGGTGCACCAGGTGACGCTCCTCCAGATAGTTCATGCCCTGCACACACATCCACACGGCACAATGAGTCACTTCTTCACAGTCCAAAGTCACTGCTTTGTCTTCAGCACCACATAAGAACAGCCCTTCTACAACCGGCTTATTATTATTATTGTTATTATTATTATTATCATTATTATTATTGTGATTATTCTTATTATTAGACGCCTCTACGTCGCCCCTATTATTATTATTATTATTATTATTTGTAGCACTCTGAAGACGTTGGTTAAAGTTAGAGTCCCAGATGTTGTGACAGAGGAGAGAGAGCCGCCTGGACCCTGAGATCTCTGAAGGTTCAGGAGGGTTCCTCCCGGGCTCCTGGCCCTGGTCTTTGTGATTTTCCCAGCACCTAGAAATCAAAGTGAGCTTAAGCGGCGTGCGAATAGATCTTCACCGCCTTGTTGGGGCTAATGGGCCCCGGGAGGCTTACAGTGATCTGCCGCCTCAGGCCTAGATCTCCTTCCCAGACAGAAGACCCCCCCTCCCTCGCCCGGACCCACCTTGGCCATCTGGACGCAGCAATTGAGGAGCCACTGGGCGCCGACGTGGTCCCTGTGGTGGCGCACGTAGTCCAGCAAACAGCCGTACGGCATCAGCTGAGTCACCAGCTGCACCGAGGACGTGAGGCAGATCCCCAGCAGGCGGCACACGTGAGGGTGGTCCACGCTCGCCATCACGTACGCCTCCTGCACAGAGGAGCATCATGAGGAGGAGCATTATGAGGAGGAGGAGCAGATGAGCATTATGAGGAGGAGAGGAGCATTATGAGGAGGAGCATTATGAGGAGAAGCAGAGGAGCATTATGAGGAGGAGGAGGAGCATTATGAGGAGAAGCAGAGGAGCATTATGAGGAGGAGGAGCATTATGAGGAGGAGGAGCATTATGAGGAGAAGCAGAGGAGCATTATGAGGAGGAGCAGAGGAGCTTTATGAGGAGGAGGAGGAGCATTCGAGGAGAAGCAGAGGAGCATTATGAGGAGGAGGAGCATTGTGAGGAGGAGAGGAGCATTATGAGGAGAAGCAGAGGAGCATTATGAGGAAGAGGAGCATTATGAGGAGAAGCAGAGGAGCATTATGAGGAGGAGCAGAGGAGCATTATGAGGAGGAGGAGGAGCATTATGAGGAGAAGCAGAGGAGCATTATGAGGAGACGAAGAGGAGCATTATGAGGAAGAGGAGCATTATGAGGAGAAGCAGAGGAGCATTATGAGGAGGAGCAGAGGAGCATTATGAGGAGAAGGAGGAGCATTATGAGGAGGAGGAGCATTAGGAGGAGGAGGAGGAGCCTTACGTCCAGGATTTCTTTGTTGGCTTTAGGCGACGTGGCTTCGCGGAGAACTTTAATGGCTACGGGGATCCTCACGTTCTCTCCCTCAGGGTTCCACCGGCCCTGAGAACAATAGAATCATGTCAAAGGAACATTCCTGCCTGTGGACATGTTGTGTGACACGTATGTACATGTATGTACATGTATGTTTGAGCGGTCAGTGGAATGGAGTTTATCTGCATGTGATGATTCACAAATAGATGTTTCAGACAGAACCAGAGGGCTTCAGTATAAGCTCCATGAAGCACTGTTCAGCATCCAAACACAGTCACCTTGAAGACGGTTCCGAAGGCCCCGGAGCCGAGCACCCGGATCTTCTTGAATTCCGTCTCCTTGAGGATCCTCAGCAGCGCCTGATTGGGCGCTTCTCCACTCGGCGTCAACGGCTCCACCAGCTACGGGCGCACAGTTTAGATCCTTAGTCCACTCAGCCCAACATCTACAGGCCACATCTTCTGAGGAGCCCCACCTCTCTCTCCTGCAGCAGGCGGCGCGTCGTCCTCTTCCTCCGGATTCGCCGTCGCCGCAGCAACACGAAGATGACCAACGCCACAATGACCGCGATGAGGAGCCCGCCGACCACGGCCACCGCCATGCTGGAGGCTACGGGCGCGCTGAGAGGACGCAGCAAAGGAACGTTACCGTCGCTCTGCATCTCCATCCACACGGACACGACATAAACACCTCTTACCCGTTGCATCCTGGGAGTCCTTCTCCGGAACACCTGTGCACACGGAGACAAAACGGTCTTTATATTCAGGACACTCTCGGTTTGGACGCCATCATAAACCCCCCTTCCCCCCTGCTGGGACTCACCCCTGGGTGCAGTTCTGGTGGCACGGCTGGCACCGTCCGGTCCGGTCCGCGTACTTCACGCCATGGGGGCAGCGGCGAACGCAGTGGGCGCCGTCCTTCAGGTTGGCGCACTGGGAACACTGGTCGGCGCCCTGCAGGGGGCGCCGGAGGAGACATTCAGTCAAAAGTGAATGAGATATGTTCAGAAAAGACACGACTTCAGGTGAATCCTAGAGATTATTCAAATAATAATCTTCTTCGTTCCCCATAAGCTGTGAGAGAATCAGTTGAGTCTGAAGGCCGCCGCGTTTCTGCGTCTTTACACGTCTTCACGCACTGGTTTCACTTCCTGGTTGTAAAGTCCTGCGTGTGTTGCAGAGCGATTCACCTCCAGAACAACAGGTGGAGTCACGTGTTTTGTTGAAGACGACCTGGAGAGTCACGTCTTTGTGTGTGGAAGTCGCTGGTTGGTTTATTTATTGATCATAGACTTTATTGCCCCGTGCATCCACACTGCTGCTTTTCATCAAGGACACATTTGTCCCGTATTTTCCTCCACGACTTTGTCCCCTCGTTTGTGGAGATCTCCCTCCATGAATCAGAGGCCATCCGGCGTCCTCATAGTCCGCCAATGACGGCTTGTACAAGCGCTCATATTTAAAAGCTCTTCAATCTGATCCGTTCTCTCGTAAACGTTCTTCCTTTTAATAACGGCCGTATTGTGCTGTGAAAACGGAGACGTGAGACTCCGTAAAGGACGTAGTCAGCAGACCAATCACAGCCTGCTGCTGCAGGAGGCTGCAAAGCTTTAGACGCTGGTCTAGAGAAACGGGTCACGTGTCCTTGCGTCTCTCTGAAAACGCAGAAGCATAAACTCGGCTTAACTGTCATATGAAGACAAGTACGAAGGACACAGCCGGACTCACCGGTCCTCTGCAGGTCGGCGTCCCGTCCTGCAGGAGACACTCGGGGTGACACTCCTCACAGCGGCGGTCCACCTCCACCTCTCTGGGCTCGCTGCAGACACACAACATTATTACCACATTCATTCTAAGGTGAGCAGAGGGGGGGGGCGGAGTCATGAGTCACAAGTAAAAGTACCTCGAGTACATCAATACATTTGTATGATTATTGATTATTGATGCAGTCTACAAACAGATCGTATGTGAGTGTGTCTGTTGCTGATGTGCCTTTGAGCCGCTCGGCCTCACCCCTGCAGCAGGTTGCAGAACGCCACACAGCGCCCCCTACGGTTGAAAAGGCGACAGGAGACACACATGGTGGGTCCTGGACCCCAGCAGCCCTCTTCCGAACACTCCTGGTCGCAGGTCCGATTCTGTTGTTCTGTGTGAACCAGACAAGGAAACGTTTCTCATTCAGTTCCCCGAAGCAGCGACGGCTGCAGCGACGTCCAGAAGCTCACCGCAGACATCGGGGCGGGCGTTCAGCAGTGTGGTGGGGGTCTGGTCGCTGGACCTGAAGAGGTGGGTCCACTGTTGCGGTTGGGTGTAGCACAGCTGAGGGTTGTCCTTTATTATCACTTGGCCGGCACTCACCTCCTTCAAGGAGCGCAGGCCCAGCCAGAGGAGGTTCTTGGCCCGCAGCACCAACAGACTGTAACCGCTGGAGAGGGACGGTTAGACATGGTGATCTATTAGTGATGTCTCATACCCGACCACTCACTGTCCCCGTCAGGTAAATTCATCAGCTGACTCACTAGCGGGTGGTTCTCCCTCTGATGATCTCCAGGTTCTCAAACACTGACAGAGAAGTCATATTCTCTGGCCAGAACTGGATGAGCAGGAAACCTAGAGGAAACAACTGATCATAACCAGGAGACTCAAGGAACGTGATCTAGATGGTTATTGATTCACCAAATACATTTCGGGGGCATTTTAAAAGATCGAGATGCACCGACAACCTTCGACCTACCTGTGATTTCCTTCACCGTCCTCAAATAATCCAGTTTAGCCGGGTCCATGGGTGGTATTTTATAGTGCGGGTCTCTGAAAGAGACAATGAAAGAAAAAGCCCTCAGAAAGGATCTGTTTGAGACACTGGATCTGGTCTCCGTAAATGTGGTCTGAAAATAGATTCATCTCTATAATAGAGCTACGCTGGTACTTTACTGTCTCAGACGTCTCACCCGGTGAAGGAGGTTTCGAGGAGCGAGACGTCACCGATGATCTTGTTGCAGTTCCTGAAGGATTCGATGTTGGAGGCGTTGACAGCAATGGCATTGCTCAGAACCCCGACCCCAATGCCGTCACACGCTGGTGGAGGACAGAGACTCGGGTTATTTTCTTGGGTATTTGTGTCTCTTCATCTGAGTCTGTAGTTGTCTCTACCTTTGGAACAGCGGCCGTCGCAGTCTTTACAGCGCTGGACTCCGTTCTCCTCCACCTCGTATGTTCCAGGGCTGCAGGTACGGACGCATGATCCACCGGCCACCACGTAGTTATCTTCATGCGAAGAAGCCAACAAATCAAAACTGGATCAACTTCCACCAAAAGTCAAAAAGGATCCGATTCAACGCGATCAATCAACACTTTTATGTCGATAGAGATTTAGAATGAGTTACAGGGTCATCGCAACAGAATGAGAGGGTTTAAAGTCCGTACGGGGGCAGGCCTTGACGCAGGTCGCCCCGAAGGTGAACTTGGCGTTGGGGTTGTTGACCACCTGGTGGGTCTTGGGGTTGTAGAGTGTCATCGGTGGACAAGCGTCTTTGCAGGTGCCGTCGTCGTTCAAATCCCTGCAGGCCTGGAGAGGACGTGGAGGGACACACAACGAGTCAACCACCAAGCGGAACCTGGGCTGCAAGTTCTTTGATTGGACGTGACGTGTGATTGGTTCACTGCAGCGAGCAGCTACAACCAGGCGGCTGACGACTACTGGCAGCTAGTGGCTAACGATGCTAACAGCGCTAACTGACCAGGCAGTCGCTGGCTTGAGGTCCGGAGCAGCCGGACGCACAGTGCTCGTTGCAGCAGTCGCTGGGTCTCGGGCCGCGACACCGTCTGCTGCACTGCTCGGCACACTGGAGCCTGGTGACTGAGACACAAGGACACATGAGAGCTCGTCCCCTCGCAGCTTCAGTCCAGTCAAAGCAGTACTTCTATTACAGGGGAGAAACATGATCAATGTTACTCCTATATGACAAAGATACACCTCAGCTAGTACATTGCAGCGCCCCTGTTCTGTACGGTGTCACGTCATTCCGTCACGCCGGCCAATCAGGGGGGGTTGCGGTGCGCGCTGGACAGGGGGAGGCCAGTGATTGGGGGAGACGAGGGGAGGCGGGTGTTTTGGGGGTTAGTCAAGGCAGCAGAAGAGTTGTGTGTGTTGTTGCTGTCTGTTAGTAACGAGAGTGTAGCGATAGCGTGGGGATGTATGTTAATAAATCAAAGGAACGTCCATTCGCCCGCGTGTGCTGAGTGACGCTACAACATACAAACTACATATCTTTGTCTTTCTGTTTGATATTTAATGTTAATGGAAGAGTTCAATACTTACATCTCTGGCAGTGATGTGACCCGGCTGCCCAACACGAGCCGTTAACACACCTGGGGTCACACTTCTCACCTGGAAACACACACAGACACACATTAATGCTCAGCAGCAGCACGGGGAGGAGCTTCCTCCTGATTCCACCTACATCTTCGGGTGAAGGCGTCCGTCTCGATGACCACTCTGGAGCGGTTGTCTCCGTCCAGGATGTCCCACCACTTGATGGTGTCAGCGTTGCACAGCAGAGGATTGTAGGCCATCTTCACGCCTCCTTTCAGGATTTCTGTGAGGAGAAGACCGTGTGAGCTTCCATGAATCCTCTCGGAGGGACACAGAGGATTCTCACTTTAGATGGAGGAGCTGAGGCAACAAATCGACTAATTCTACTACACACACACACACACACACACACACACTCACACCCCACCAGGCCCGCTGCCCTCCCTGAGAAACCAACCGCCCATCGGTGGAGCAACTTGTGAAGTCAAATAAAGCAGAACACAACCAGAGTGAACGCCGGTGTAATGAGAGGGGAACCAACTAGGAATTAAAAACAGGCTCTGGGTATTTACTGGACACTGAAGAATCTGAGGGCCCCTGAACTACTCACTGCCTCTCCTTCCACTGGGAGCTTTGTGTGTGTGTGTGTGTGTGTGTGTGTGTGTGTGTGTACCCGTCAGGTTGCTTAGCAGCAGCTGCCTCAGCCCGCTGGTGTAGTTGAGCGTTGCAGACGACTGGTTCCGCTGGTAGTTGGAGATGACCAGCAGGGCGAACTGGTGTTCGTAGAGGTTCTGGCCGCGGATCAGCTTCAGGTTGACCAGCGGGATGACGGCGGCCTCGTTCATGGCGATTAGAACGTAGCCTCCTACTTCCTCGATGGTCTGAAGAAGGAAGAAGCATCATCATCATTTCTTTTTGGGGTTTTTTAAAATTGCAAATATTTTTAATTCCTGATCAAAATTTTCCAAATTATTCAACAGTCTGGTTTCATCTATCGTCAGAGCACCGATTGTCCAGAAGAAGAAGTAGATGTTTGAAGTCTCCAGCCGTCTTGTTTTGTATCAACCAGTGAACAGGAAGTGATAACGTAAATACTTAGGAGGATACGGCATACGGCTCCATTGGATACCTGTCAATCAGCGTGTAGCCCCGCCCTAAAGCATCCCCTGCATTATGGTCTGGTTGACTCTAAATGGACCATCATTTACTAAATAAACATCATGTATTCATCATGAGCCCATAAAGTCATGTTTACAATGTTTACTGAGAAAATAAAGAGTTCTACGGGAGCAGAGGAGTCGCCCCCTGGTGGTGTGATTGGTCTCCTCTAATCTGTGTCCTTCCATGAAGCCTCAAAGTTGTGCCACATTTGGGGCTCAAATCAAGATTATATTTATATTCATTTTTCATGCTGATTTTCTTAGATTGATCTAAAAAGGCCTAAATCACACCGTTGCATCGTTATCAACATGTGAGCCTGTGATGATCGACCAGTGGAAGCTGTGTGCAGATGTTTGGCGACCTCACGCCACACACACAGTCACACGGGGGAGGGGCCATGCAGCTGTGGAGTGTTTAGAAGTCCCTCTGCTGACGATGGAAGGCACTCTGACTCGCTCCCTGTTTATCTTCTGGGCTTCCGATTCTCTTTCTGACAACAAGAGCTCCCCAAGGCGGGGCAGTTAATCAGCAGGTCGCCGAGTCTCTAGTGTCAGAGCGACCTCGAAGGCAACACAAAGACAGTTCTGAGAAGACTCCCCGCTCACATCTGCAGCACATCAGAAGCAAACGTAACCCTTTGATAAAAAGAAACCGAAACCGGCAGCTGGAAGGACTCTAAAAGCTGATGGATGGTTGGGAGATGACAGAGGACTGACCTGGAGGAAGGACAGGTCCTGATGCTCCAGGGTGTAGGTGATCTCCAGGTTCTCCAGGACCACGGAGCAGTTTGCATACATCCTCACCATGTTCTCATAGTGATACTCACGAGTCCCCAGCAACGTCAGATAGTTATGCATCCCCTGACACACTGGAGGGAGGGATAGATAGAGGGATAGATGGATGGATGGATGGATGGATGGATGGATGGATGGATAGATGCCTGGACAGAGGGATAGCTGGATGGAAAGATGGATGGATGGATAGATAGAGGGATAGATGATGGATAGATAGATAGATAGACGGATGGATGGATGGATAGATGGATGGATGGACAGAGGGATAGATGGATGATGGAGGGATGGATAGAGGGATAGATGGATGGATGGATGGATGGATGGAAGGATAGATGGATAGATAGATGGATAGAGGGATAGATGGATGGATAGATGGATGGATAGAGGGATAGATGGATGGATGGATGGATGGATGGAAGGATAGATGGATAGATGGATGGATAGATAAACAGATGTTCAGGTGTTAGTTGCAGTTCCCTGGATGGCCACTAGTTTCCTGATGTACTCGTCTTGTATTGAAGTGAACAGGTCATCTTCCATCCTTATATTAATTACACAGCTGGAGCACTTTAAATATCAAACGATATTGTTTGGATCAGAGCATTCCCTTTCGAACATGACATGATGACATGAATCACTGCGTGGTGGTTATAATGTCCCTACTGTCTTCATGCAGGTTAGGTGTGGTTCTATGTAGGAGCTGGAAGGTGTGACACCTTTACAAAGAAGAACCGGTTCAACCGCACAGACACATTTGGACCATTATCCGTCAGTGAGGAATGAGAACCAACAGGAACAATGAGAACAACTTCCTGCAGAACCACAGAAACCACAGGAGTTACATCGCAGGACGACAAGTGTTTGTTGACAGATGTTCTCTTGCCTCATGACAGATGTTCTCTTGCCTCATGACAGATGTTCTCTTGCCTCATGACCATGTCACACAGGCTTCCGCACTGGTTCCGATTCAGCAGGAAACATACTGCCAGAGTTCAAGCAACAATCTTTTGATGTTCTGAACAGAGAACATTAGAACATGTTAGAACACATTAGTCCCTAAATCGATATTCTTGCATCCGTCCTCTCCCACTCGTTTACTCCGTCCTCTCCCTCCCACTACATCCTCTTCTTCTTGCCTCCTCAAATCTTCAGCTCACACAGAAACCACCAAAGACACGGCGAGAACGTCATTTAGAAAAGTCGTGAACAGAGCGTCATGGTGGAGAACAACAACATTACATCACATCGACAGAAGCCAAAGTGCTCTAAGTAAGAGGTAACAAACCCCACACCAACACTACGCTACTTTTGTCATGAACAAATCAGAGTAACAATCAAACAGAAGAGACACCGATAGTAATGACTTTAAGTTACACAACTCACACACACACACCTTTCATGTGCAGCGCGCCTTGAAACTGCGTCATCCAAAAAGCAGTCAGACAGATCTGACCTGTTCCTGAACAAACACTGTGTGAGTCTGTGTGTTGTCATAACCTCCGGGGTCACATGGTCACCAGGTCGTTCCCCCCTCTGTTTGCTTCCTGATCAAAGCAGCAGTTCAGGTTGTGTGTAGTTAGCCTAGCTTAGCATAGACACTGGTAGCCAGCTGCAGAGAAGTCAGAGGTTCCGACCCGTGACGACCCAGAGAGGACCCAGTTTTCTGACTTTACTACTCTTGTTATCTTTGCTCACTTGAGTATTGTTATTATTATTATTATTTATTTTAAGTAGCATTAATATGAGAAAGCAACAAAGACAATCCTGAACATCATTGTTCTCAATCTTTCGTCAGTTAGGATTCCAAAACAATTTCCTCCTCCCAAATTAAATTTCTGACATTGAAGATTGATGATAAAACTTTCCCAGATTATAATCTCAGTAGCAGCCAATGAGAGCTCAGAGGAGGAGGAGTCATCTGTTTCACAACCTGAGAGCGATGAAGAGATAACACACACACACACACTCTTCCTCTCCCGTTGTAACAGGACTCAGAGGAATGTGTGTGTGTGTGTGTGCGTGAGTCAGTCCATCGCTGTCCCTCTTCTGTCCTCCTTTAGACGCTTCGTCCAAACGGCCGCGAGACGGACGCCGTCTTTCTGACCTGAGATCAGAAGTATCTAAAAGTTTTACTTGAGTAAAAGTACCAATACAACAAAAATCATCATGGTATCAGCTGACCAATCAGAGAGGGTGGAGACGTCCTGTATACGTAAAGGTAGAAGTGCTTCACCGAGGTCCAGAGCACCCAACGCCAACGCCAACGCAACGGTCATCAAGAGATGGATCCACAAAGACTGTGATGACAGTTCGACCTTCAGTGACCTCGCCTGCAGCCACGATCAATGAGAGCTCTTCATCGCCGCCGCAGGAGGTCGCGCTTAAACTGTCTCTAAGTGGTTTTATTGATGAGTGGACGGGACGAGACAGATGAAACCCGTTTATATGAGATCATATCTGAGATAAACTGGTTTCATAATCTAGTTTATTAATCATGTTTGAACTGATTTAAACTCTGATTTAAAGACGTTGCATTTTAAAGACTAAATGTATCTGCTCCTCCAGAATTAATTTAAAATTCAATTTAAAATTGATTGAATACTTTAAAACTCTAATAGAGTTCAGGGCCTCGGTTCTCACGTTAAATAGATGTGGACAGATGTGGACAGATGTGGTTTTCCGCAGTAAGATTTTATTTAAGGTTAAATTAGTGGACTTAAACCAGGACGTGTGATTCACATTCTAGTTTGTGATAAACAACTGAATGTTTGCTGGACTCGTGGACTCAGACGTGTTGTCCTGCAGAACGCCGGGGACACAGTGGCCTTGTCAGTGTGTAACACACACACACACACACACACACACACTGACTCAGGAATGTGTCGGCTGGCTGAGAAGCGCTGGTCCTGCAGTAGGAACTGTTCTCAGGTCAGAGCTCCACTGGGAAACCTTCAATGTGTCCAAACGCTTCAAGAACATGATCGGCTTCCTGTTGTCAGGTGACCGCGCAGGAGAGCGAAGGCGAGCGAATGAAGCGCTTCTTAAGGAGAGATTCCTCTGTACGCGATTGCTGTTGGCATTTGTGCTTAATGAGATCCGAGACTCCGTGAACCAGAGATCAATAAAGGAAACCAAATAAATCAATTTGAAATAGAAACATCTGAAAGGTGAACTGCAGAGCACAAAGAAAACAGAAAAAAACGACTTCCCAATCACACAAATCCCAGAACGTGCACAGTGAGCGTAGGTGTGTGTCTGTGTGCTGCCGGCAGCACTGTGTGCAGGTCGGAGCGAGACTCTGCACGTCTGAGGCTCAGGAGCTGCTTCCTCTTCACTCCGTGTAGAGGAAAGCGTCCAACCACTGAGCGTCCTTCTGTCCTCTGGGGACGGACTGAGGACATGAGGACCTTCTAAGCCTCTCCCCGAGCTGTGATTGGCTGACCTCATGGACATATGAGGAGCTCCATGGTTGGTTAACTTTCGGTAGAAAAGTTATAACAAAAACACAATAAACCTTGATTCATAACTACAAGGATCAAAGCGCCACTAGAAAGATGAAAAGAGCTGGAGCTTTATTTTGAAAAGCCTGTGTGTACAACTCGTTGTCTGGTGACACTTCCTGACACGCTGTGCTCCTCATGAACAGGTGAGACCGGTTGGCGCTGTTATCGGTGTCCGGTTACACTACTTGAGTACGTTTATACACGTCGAAGCCAACGTTTATCAAAGTATTGAAAGTAGTTTGTACAATAGTACTTTTGAGAAAGACACGAGGAGGCTTCTGCTGTTAAAGCAAAAGCTCAGATTTGGCTGTGTTTTGGATTCAATTCAATGCTGAACCCTCAAACATGAAGAGTTAGAGACCACATGAAGCTCTGTGTGCAGACACTGAGCTTCTTCTTCGCTTAGGTGATACATATTTCAGAAAGTGACAAGGGCCCGAGGATTGAGCCCTGTGGGACGCCACAGCTGGAGAAAAGAGGGGTTTCGTATCAACAATCATGTCCATTAGAATCCAGACAGCAGATTTTTGCTGCAGGTTCGTGGGATAACAGCTGACCTCTGCCCCGGCTCTGTGTGACCTGTGACCTCCGGGGACCGAGCAGCAGCTAGTTATGAGGTCAGACACGTTTTAGCTCTAAACACGGAGTTCACATGTTACAGTAGAGCGAGCGGCCTGTAAAATCCTGCTAAAAGCGTCTAAGCTACGTTATTGACATTCTTCACATTCCGGCCCTGGAAATCCCCCAGGGTGCACTGCTGCTTACTGCATGTCAATATATAGAAATCAAACATTAGATTGTTGTTCTGCTAATTAATTGCTCGCTCTGATTGAAGCAATTTCATTGGCCCACAGATGGCAAGTGAGATAGTCTGAGTGCACATGTTCTACTAATATCTGTTTGATATGTGAACGCAATAAGTACTTGTATGTGTGTGTGTGTGTGTGTGTTGGATACGCAGTAGTGTGACATTTAAAGGACATTTAGAGGACATATTATATTGACAACAAATGATGATCACTTACTAATCAATAGGTGAGACTAAAAAGTTAGAGCTTTTAGTCGATACGGCCCGACTCACCATGCCAAGCGTGTCGCCGTGGTAACCGCGAGGCTCCAGCATCCTTTATTATGTAGAGTTGCATTTAGCTGCCTCAAAAGAAACACACACACACACACACACACACACACACACTGCCAAGGTCTTTCCCAAAAGTCAAACTCAATGGGAACATGGCTCACACACACACACACACACACACACACACAAACACACACACACACACACACACACACACACAGAATTCGCTGGCAGACCGAAGGTCGAACGTCTTTCAGTCACAACAGTCCGTGTTTTACAATTTACTGCAACTGAAGCTCTCAAGTTTAGAACCAAAAACAACGCACACAGACACACACCCTCTGTTCACACGGATGAATGTGCACATTATTCCCAGAAGAAGAACCCGTAACACAGACCTGGGCCTGACGCGATGCATTATGGGTAAAAACACAATCACACAGAAACA